TCCTTGCCTTCTCCTCTCTCTTAACCCTTCTCTTTTTTCCTTTTCTTCTCCCTCCTACCCCTATCAATGACCCTTCTGCTCTCCCTCTTCATCCTTCACTTTTGACCCCACCCATCTCCTTCTCCCGCCATTCCCTTCCCTTCGTCACCACCAACCTTGAATGCATCATTAACTAGTTCTATCCCGATGATGATATGAAGATCTCCTTCTTAAGCTCGCCGCCATCTTCTCCTCCCTCGACCACCTCCTCTTCTCCTCCGAGCCCTCCTGCGACCTCTGCTCCTATAACACTCTCATCAAAGCATATGCCTGTAATTCCCGCTATGAGAATTGGGTAATTGACATTTGGGAGGAGGCGTAGTGTCATGTTGTGTGATTTAGAGTTGAATTGGATAAGGTGACGTTGAGTGGGACTATTGAAATGTATGCAAAATGTAGGAAAATTGATAACCCTATGTATGTGTTCGATGAAATGACTAAAAGAGTTGTGGTTTGTTTAAGTGTGATTGATCGAGAGTTATTTTGATGTGAAGAGGAAGAATGAAGGCTTGGGGTTTGTTTGGTGACATGTTGAGGTGTGAAATTAAACCGAATAATTGCACTTTTGCTGCAATTTTGGATGCTTGTGGAGAGACTACGGCTAAAGAGTTGGCAAGGAGATTCATGGACATATTATAAGTATTGGATTTGATTCTGGATCTATAGTTATTGCTACTCTTGTTGATATTTTTCAAAATGTGAGAATGTTGAGAAGGCGAGGTGTTTTTTGAGGACAAATTGATAAAAAAAAAAATTTGCGCTTGTTTAACAGTTTTGTGCTGTTAAGAGTTGGCAGATATGATTGAAGCTCGAGAGAGTAAAGGATTAAAGTGTAAAGAGAGGGATTATGGATGGAGAAAGAGAGAGTATGTAATAATAATATGTCATATACAAAGAAAATGTAACAAAGATATTGTCATGTAGTTGTGTGTCTATAAACAAAAACATTACACAAACTTATAGTTTTTTGGGTTAATTGTGAATTATGAAAGATTAGATGTGAATATCACCTGAGAAAACATTAGATACTAGCTAAATTTAACAGGTGCTAGGTAAAGTTAACAGCTACTCGATATAGTTAATAAGTACTGGATAAAGTTAACAGGTACTGAATATAGTTAACATACACTGGATATAGTTAACATGTAATGGGTATATTTAATAACTATTAAATATAGTTAACAGGTACTGGATATAATTAATATGATAAGTGTTGGATTTGATTCAGGATCTTTTGTTGTTGCTACTTGTCACGCCCCGCTTCCCAAAATACCGGGGAATCGGAATGTGAACAAGCTCGCGACGTATTAGATTGAGAAGAAATATATATACTATCATTTTTTTCTTTTTCTTCTCAATCCAATACGCTAAGCGTAAAATATATAAATCTCAGCCACAGGTCCCCGATCACAATAGTAAGAATATAAAGATAACCCAGAATAAAAAATAAACATATCATCAACAGATCATCCCAGACATAAAATACGGGTTCAACATACCCTTACTACAACACCGTTCAACTAGAAAATAAGAAATACATAGTCCATAATAAAAGGAAATACTAACAAAATAACCAAATCTGTCACCAACTAAAGAAAATACTATAAGAGTGTTCTATCAGCTACTACAGAAAGATAAACACATCTAGGCTTCAGTTTGTTCTTCCACTCCATCGGAAGGACATTCTGGCTGGGCATACACTGGCTCGGCTGCATCATCGAACTGAACCTGTTCGTCTCCTAAGTCTGACGCACACCAGAGAAAACATGTGTACGTCAGCGTGCATGGCACCGGCAAGATCTCACGTGAACAAATAAAATGGTCTAATGACTCATGCTATAATAATAATGATACTAACAGAAAAGACAACGATACATTCAACTGAAATCTAATAGTAACATACAGCTATGTGAATACAGTAACTGGGTCGAATACTAATCAACCTAAAACTCAGTGGTCCATATCTCACACAGAGTCAACGCTCCTGTCATCGGATAACTGGCTGTTCATAAATCCCCT